TTTTTTTTAATTTCTGATTCTATTATATTTTTATTAGGCTGTCTTTGTCTTTGATAATCAGTTTAATCATGAGCCAACCAATCTCTGCTGGAACTGAAACTAATCCCAATTCTGGTCCCACTCCCAGAACAGAAATGTTTAAGCCCACTGGTGACAATATTGATGTCTTTTGGAAGTGGAACAGCTTAAAAGACAAAAATAATAGGAAGAGTGTCACGTGTGATTTTTGTCTGAAAACATCTACTGGTGGAATTACTAGAGCAAAAAGACATCAACTTGGAATAAAAGGCGATGTAGGTGCTTGTAGAAAAATTCCTGAGGATCTAAAATTGGAAATGAAGGCTGCCTATGAGAGTAAAAAAATTGCCTCAGAAGTATATATGGAGTGCGTAGATGAAAATGAAGAGGAGGATGACATCCAAGCCATTGCTAGAATTAAGAGACCTTCATCTACATCAAGTGAAGCCACTTCTGTTTCCAAGAAGAGGGGTATAAATGTCAAAGGTCCCCTTGATTTGCACTTTACTAGAAAGGCAGAAGAAAGTATCAAATTGAATAAGGGGTTGTGGCAAACAAGTTTAAATGATGCTTGTAACAAGGAAGCAAGAGCAAGGGTAATTCAATACATTGCTCGCTTTTTTTATCGGAATGGAATTGCATTTAATGTTGCTAGATCAAAGAGCTTCAAATTGATGGTTGAAGCTATTGGCACCTATGGTCCCCATTTAAAGCCACCAAGCTACCATGAATTAAGAGTGCCACTCCTTAAAAAAGAGTTGGAATACACCAAGGGCTTATTGAAGGGCCATGAAGAAGAGAGAGTAAAATATGGGTGCTCAATTATGTCTGATGGTTGGACAGATAGGAAAAGTAGAACTTTGATTAACTTTTTGGTTAATAGTTCAATGGGAACAATGTTTGTGAAGAGTGTAGATGCTTCTGAATATACCAAGACCGGTGAGAAGGTGTTTGAACTTTTAAATAGTTTTGTTGAGGAAATTGGAGAGAAAAATGTTGTTCAAGTAGTAACAGATAATGGAAGCAATTATGTTATGGCGGGTAAGAATCAATTATATTCTAATTTTATACTCATACGATTATAAGATATAAATTCTAATTTTAATTATTTTGTTATTGTGTTTTTAGGCAAAATTTTACAAACTGTGAGACCACATTTATTTTGGACTCCATGTGCTGCTCATTGTCTTGATTTGATGCTAGAAGATATTGGAAAGATCCCTAAAGTCAAAAGGGTAATACAAAGAGGCATCAAGCTCGTGGGTTACATTTATAATCATACCTTGACCCTAAACACCATGAGGAAGTATACAAATAAGGTTGAATTGGTGAGGCATGGAGTTACAAGATTTGCTACCACCTTCCTTACTTTGCAACGATTGCATAAGTTAAAGGCAAATCTTAGAAGGATGTTTACTTCCGACGAATGGTTGCAATCAAAAGGAGCCAAAGAACCTAAGGGGAAGAAAGCAACGGAGATTGTTCTTATGCCTACATTTTGGAGTGATGTTGTTTATGCTTTAAAGGCTATGGGGCCTATTGTACGTGTGTTGAGGTTGGTAGATAATGAAAAAAAACCGGCAATGGGTTACATTTATGAAGCAATGGAGAGGGCTAAGGAGGCAATTCAAAATTCTTTTAATCATAATGAAGAAAAATATAAGGATATATTTGCAATTGTTGATAGAAGATGGGATTGTCAACTCCATCATCCGTTGCATGCAGCAGGATATTATCTAAATCCTGAGTTTTATTACAAAAATTCAACAAGAATGGATGCTGATGATGAAGTGGTGGATGGCCTTTTCAAATGTATTGATAGGCTTTGTGAAAATAATGACATTGTAGACAATGTTCACAATCAATTGGCAATATATAAAAGGGCAGGAGGAAGATTTGACATTCCTGCAGCAGTTAGAGCAAGGGTTAAAATGGCTCCTGGTAAGTGAGACTTTTCTTAAGCTTCAACTTCACTTACAAATTTTATAGTTATTTGATAATTTATTTATATAATAATATTTGCATTTATAGCTGAGTGGTGGAAGATGTATGGAGGACATACACCACATTTGCAAATTGTTGCCATTAAGGTACTAAGCTTGACGTGTAGCTCATCTGGTTGTGAGCGTAATTGGAGTACCTTTGAGCATGTAAGTTAATGAATTAGTGGATTTAAATTTGAGTTTACTATTGAAAATGGAAAATTAACTAACATCATGTTGTTAAATTATTATAGATTCACTCAAAGAAGAGAAGTAAGCTTGAGCACCAAAAGCTTCAAGACTTGGTTTTTATTAAATATAATCAAGCTCTTCAAGAACGCTTTGAGTGTCAAGATCCAATTGATCCAATTGCTTTGAATGAAGTTGATGATAACAATGAATGGATGTTGGGAGAAGAAAATGATGAGGATGAATTTGAAGATGACTTGGTGTTTGATGATGATGTTTTGACTTGGAGAGATGTTGCCCAAGCAAGTGGTGCCGGTGAACCTTTGAAATACACTAGGAGACAAACACAAGTGAACAAGACATCAACAATTGCATCTACATCCAAGAAAGATAAAGGAAAAAAAGTGATGGAAGTACTAGAAGACGAGGATGATGATGTAGAGGAAGAAGAAGAATATAATTCTAATGCTAGTGGGAGTGATGAATTTGAGGGAGAGGAAGACTTTAATCTTGATGAGGAAGAAGATTAAACTATAATGTTTAATTTTTTACTTACTTAGAGCTTTAACACTTTGTTTTGGAGACATTTTATATTATGTATTGTTTGAGTACTATGAACTTTTAATTATTAAAAATGTTTAATGCATGAATTTAGAGTTATTTTTTTTGTTTTTTAGCTTTTATATATATATTATTAATTATTTAATATATATAAATTAATATTTAAATAGCGGTTATCCCGCTCCGCGTCATCCCGCTATCCCAGTTTTGGGGTCGGCCGCTCCGCGCCGCTATCCGGGATTGACTACTATGTGAAGAACTAGGTTGTACAAGAAGCTTTAAAGAAAGCTTTTGAAGGAGACGGGTAGAAGAACCATGCATTACCCACCAGGATTTAGCATTTAATGTCCATTTATCTTAAATCGAGTCAAAAGAAGCAAAATTATGAGCTTTTGATGAAAAATCAACATATTCAAGAGAAACCTTTCTTTTTTCTTCAGTTGTTATGAAAAGCTTTTTTAAACATTTATTTCTTTCCATAGAAATTTCTTTAACCTCATGTGGAGAAATTCTATTTGGAACCTCTTGAAGCTATTCATCACTGTAGAACCTGTGAATAAATAAAAAAGTTAATAGATAAAAAAATTTAGTAACTACCAAATTATTTATAAATAAATTAGAAAAACAAATAAATATTTAATAGGCTAATTTTGCCAAGGATTCAAAGAGTGAGCCATGTAGTGGAGAGGGATGCAACTCTTAGTCCACCTATCAATTAGTATAGAATAAACAACTTAATAAAATGTTGATGTATCATTTAACTCTTTTCCTTCATATCTACAGATAGACGTTTTTACTTTTTCTTTCATACTATCCCACATCTCATAGACCAAATGAAGTGTGGGACTATCTGTGTCAAAAGCCCTAAGCATACTATAAATAGGCTCGGTGAAATTAAGAATATATGTAATTTTGTCCCACCACACATCATTCAAAATAAATTCTTTTGCAACTTGGGCCTTACCCACATCATCTTCTCTATAAGAGTTTCATTCTTCACTAATAACCATCGATTGCAAAACACCTTTCAAATGTTTAAATCTCTTTAACATAACTAGAATAGATGCAAAGCGTGTTTCAGCTATAGCAAGCAACTATAGAGGTGAAAAGTGATTAAAAATTGCCAATCTCATTGAGTGATTCATGATAAAGTTCCTCACAAAAGAAACATCATCAACAACTTGAGTAATCCAATTACATTCAACATAAGCTATCTCATTCCTTTCAGTGTTTTTGGCAGCACATATGTTCTTCAATGCAAGGTTCAATGTGTGAACAACACAAGGAGTCCAAAAAAATTTAGGAAAAGAAATTTCAACAATCATTCCAGCACCTTTGCATACAGGAGAATTATCTATTATAATTTGAACAACATTTTGTTCTCCTACTTCTTTTATAACTTCTATCATCTTATCAACCATATAATGTTTGTTTTTAATCTCATTAGAAACATTAATAGTTTTTAAAAATATTGGACCCCCTTCACTTGTAGCCATAAAATTAATTAAAGGCCTTCTTTGGACATCTTTCCATCCATCAAATACTATGCTAATACTTTTTGCATTCCAAGTCGATTTAATAGGTTTAAGCAACCTCTCAACTTGTGCCTTCTCTTGTTGTAAGAGTTGTCCTCAAGACATTGTATCCAGGAGGGAGAAAACCATTAAGCATGTGATTTGCAGCAAATGAATAAGAATTCACATAATAGGGATTTCTGGCAAGGTTGAAAGGCAATCCAGAAGAATAAAACATTCTAGCAATGAGAGCTTTGAGATTATCTCTATTTTCTAAATTAAATGCTTTCTCCAAAGGACCAACTTTTCTCCTTTTCAATAAAGAACTCTGATGCATTTTCTCTTTAGGCAATGAGACATGCTTAGGTTTCACTTTATTTTCAGCCAATTCAACAATTGATTTTAATTCAACCAAATATTGATCATTTACACTTGCACACTCAGAAATTCCAGTTCCATAAATCCTCAACAAATGAGCTTTAACTCTCGAATAAGAACTTTTATAAACCTTTTGACAAAAATTACAAGACCAACTCTTATTTCCTCTCCCTTCTGAACTTTTATCTAATATGCTAACAACACCAAAGAGGAGCATGTTCATCTTGTACAACATCAGTAGAAACGAACTTACTTGGAATCAGAACCAGAAGCATTTGCTATTGACATTATAAATAAATAATTTTTATGCTTCTGCAAAAAAAAAAAGTATATCTATGTTAAATTGTTAATTGTTAAATAAATTATACAACTTAAAAAATTTAATCACTCCGAATCATAAAAATATAAATTATAAAATATTAAGTAATTTCACAAAAGGCATTATAACTTGAAAATATTAAAATTATAAATTAAATATTATCAAATATTTTTTATTTATAATTTTATATTAATATAAAGAAATTATATAAATATTGAGTATTTAAGTATTTAACTTATTTTAATATTATAATTTCATCTAAATTAGTATATATTAAAAAATTAAAATTAAGAAAGAAAATTAAAATTTTTAAAAAACATTTATGTGAGATTGAAATTTTGTTAGTTTAAAAACTAGAAATTAAAAATTTGTTACAATTTTTTGTACATAGAGATGCTAAAAGAGAATTAAAAAAATTCTTATTATTATTAATTTACAATTTTACAAAAAATTAAAAAAATTTTAAATAAATCATAAAATTAAATGTAAAAAAAAACCCATGTAGCCATGTGTATATGTACAAAAGGCCAAAAGCGGCACAGTGCACACTACACACCTGTCAATCAAAAAGGAAAAAAGTGAAACACATGCTCAGTGAGTGTTGATTACACGCAACAACCAAAAAGAAAAAAGCCAAAAACTTTCCCCAAAGTCGAGACTCGAGAGAAATGGTTGCACATGCTCTTTCATGTTTCAACAAAAACAAGAAAAATAGGTGCCTAGGTTGGGTGGGTAACTGGGTAATGGGTATCGGAAACCTTACAGGAAAAATAATGGAGAATCGGAGATGAACTTCTTTACCTGGGTCACTGGTGTTTGGCTTTTTGTTGAATCCGACCCCTACACGTAATTGGCTCCCGAACCCAACTTTTATTTTAAAGATTATCTGTTAAAGGGTTTTTCAATGTTTTTCCCTTAAAATAAAATATTGGTGGCGGCTCCATTGAAAAATAAATGTTAGCGTCATCCCGTCGTGATCTTGGTTACGACAGATGGCTAGTGCCCAAATGCTAACGCATCTTGATCTGGCTTTGGAATGCAAACGAAAGTTTTGGAATTGCATCCGAGGATCTTCGTCTCAAATTTTTGTGTTCTTCTTGCTTATTTATGCTTGAATTCTGAATAATGGATACGTATCGCAACAAATCTGTAAAGTATTTTTTCTTTTCTTTTTATTTAACAAGATCACTATAGATATGGTTGAGATACGTATCCCTAACGTATCGAAATGTATCCGTATCGAATATGTATCCGATACGGATACGGGATGAAAATTTACGTATCCGTGCTTTTGAGGTATTGGGATATGTGGGGTTTTCTACAAGCTTAGCATTCATCAACCCTAGTTTCCTTCAAAATATCTATTGCTTACTTCCTCTAAGAAGTCATAAGGCCATTCTTGGACGATGCCACCTCTACCCCCAAGAAGTAACTAAGTCTGCCAAGATCTATAGATTGAAAATGATGGAAAAGATTTTGCTTTATTTGAGTAATTACATGGTGGTAACATGTAATCATGATTATCGAATTGAGATTTGAATCGTGAAGCGGAAGAGCTACTTTACAAGTCATGAATCATATTGTATTACAAACTGTTAGATACAAGATCAATAAAATCATAGCATTTTAACAAAAAATACACACTAATATATCATATATGAAGCTATGAATCACAAAATAATTCAAGATAAAAGTCATAAATCAAAAAATAAGTGGTGGCTGGCTGCACTAAGTTATAGTCTTCAAGTTCAACCCCTAAATACAAAATATGATGGCAAAATGCAAATTAATCTTTCCTACTTCACACATCCTAGTTTTATGCTTCATTCATCATCTCCAAGATCAATGTCACTTAGTTCATCCTCTTCCTTTAATATCAAATACTCCTCCTCATCCTCTTAACCTACATCGCTAATTGTCTCTTCAATTTCATTCTCCTTTTCTATTATAGTCGATTTTCCCTTCCTATCAACGTTGGCATTTAACTCATTGAATCTCTTAACATAGTATTATATTTAAGTATTACATTACATGTTCTAAATCTAAACTTTTAAACACATACCTCTCTTACTTTTCTTGCTTGGAGCTCCTTCTTCTAAAGTAAAACACTTGTATATATTCATCCATGATGCATCAATTGGTAGGCAAGGATCCACTTTTCAGTAATCCATTCATCATTTGATTCTATATCAGATAAGTATATAGGATCGTAAGTATCTCCTTTCTCCTCTCTAACCTTTTACCTCATCCCAAGTTGAAGGTTATACTTAACAAAGACGAGCATCTAATCTTTGTTGTTTTAAGTGGTTTCTTCTCTTAGTATGGATTTGATCAAATATGCTCCAATTTCTTTCCCACCTTGTAGCTCTACAAGTGAGACTCAAAACTCTCATTGCTAGCTTTTGTAATTCTTGACATTCCCCACCCCATCATAACTTTGCCACCAAAGAGAGCTACAATATTAAAACAAAAGCCAGTATGAATAAATATTATCTTGGCTGCCATGCTCTTTCTATAGTACACTAACATATCCTATTTACAACAATTCTAACAAGGCCTATTTTGATCATATCATTAGTCGATATAGGATCTCAACCACTTGAGTGTCAATATCTTAGTGGCTAAACTCTATGATGCTTCATCTAGTATAGTCATACATAAGATGAAGTTTGCAATATCATACATCGATGGTGGCCTAACAAAAGGATTGTATAGACTTTGATTCCTATTGGAAAAGAACTAGAAATGGATTGTCCTGTTGGTGAACAAATCCTTGATATGAACATTGCTTTTATCCCTTGAACATTTGATCTAATGCCACTAACAACCGAGTTAAAGCCTTGGTTGACTACCATATTTTAAATAAGGAGAAAAAGGAGTTGTGTTGGAAAAAATGTTAATTGGTTCCTGTTAGTGGTAACCATTCTTTGAACATTAATCAAATTTTTTTTTTCCATTTTTGTTTACTCCATTTGAAATTAAAATAGGTTTGTTTTGTTTACCCGAATCCTCATTCTCTTAAATTTGATGTGTTTTTCATTTATTGTTCATGAACTTGCTTCCAAATTGCTTATATATATAATTTTTTGGAGAGTAGAGACGGGAATGGATCAAATCTTAAATAGGGGCCTATGGCTTGATTTGTCTAAAGTTTGGCCTAGCCTGACATGATCTATTTAATAAAAAGGTTAGGTTTGAACTTTTAAAAAATGCTAGACTTAAAGGCTTAAAAAAGTTTGTTAGGTCTTATTCGCTAACCTATTTATCAATATAATATAATAAAAACTTTAATACACATTACACTATTAATAAAAAAAATTAATTAAATAAATTTATAATACAAAAATTAAATTATTAATATTATTAGAATCTCCATGATTTCTTTTTTCTTTTTTTTTTGCAGACACTACAAGTGTAATTAGAGCTGGGCCTCACTAGTTTTTGGCCAATACTTTTTACTGGTTTTGTTTTTAACTTTTTGATGAATAAAAAAAAATATATGCAGTGTTCTTTTAAGGTATTGTATCTTACTTTAGTTTTTTTTTTTTTTAAACTAAATTTTAGTAGTAAATGACTTTTTTTTACCACAACAAATTAAAAAAAAAAAAACTCATTAACCTGTTTAAAATTAAGTTTGTTGTCTTATTTAATCCCATTATTATAAAATAGACATTTAAACAGGCTAATAGGCCAATTTAGACTTTTGAAAAGACAAGGCTAAGTTTATGATAGATAATACGTCAAGCTCATATAGAACAAGTCAGACCTATATATTTAAAGCTTGGCAGGCCTGACCTAGCTTAATCTCATTCCAAGTGGAGTACAATTCTCACCTTACAAGCTAATTTTGTAAGGATTGAATTAGGCTCAAATTTACTTTCTAAGAACCATTACATTGTTCACGTGGCATGACCTCTTGTGTCTTATACTATTGCTCTGTATTCTTCTCATATATATAGAAAAGTATTTCCATGTTTGGTTTTCTTTTATTTGACAAAACTTACATGCAGTTCCTCATGTGCTTTTAGTGCTCTTTTCAAATCAGATTGGAGTTTCACATTTGATGTCGGTAATCAATGCTGATCTTCTGTACAAACTTTTATTATGTACGTTATCAAGCTGAAAATTCGATGGTAAATAGAGAAGAACACCGAAAGCATAAGCAACTCTTGACTGATCCAACTTTTGTCCTTGTTTTTTGTAAATATTTGTATTTGATTTTGATGGGTTTAGGTGATGTCATTTCATTTCTGCATCATGATTTCTTCAATCTATATTGGGTAGTGATAAAATTTATGTTAATATTTCAAGGTTCTAGATGAGGGTCTTCGGGCAGTCTCTGGATTTCAAGGAACAGAAGATCTTTCAGATGATAAATTGATGGGTGTTCCCTTTGCATCTGATTGCATCAGGATGAAGAAAGTGTCTTCTGCTCCATCGTACGAGCTAGAGTGCAAAGATGATATTGTAGTCAACTTTGAAGCTTGTGAATCAGGAATTCAGCAATGGCATGAGGCAATTGAGAAGCATATGCCTCTTATCTTGTGTCACTCTTCAGCAATGGTGAGAATTTTCATTTCTTTTGTAATAGTTTCTATTATTTTGTTTGACAATTGGAGCTAGGAAAGTAGCAACTGATCCTGTTGCTCCCAAGCAAGAAACTCTTCTGATATGCGACCTGTGTCACAATCTTTAATCGTGTGAAGCTTCATTCAAATGATTGGATTCACCAAGAAATGTTGTAGTTGATGACCAACAAGTAATTTTTGGTGGGAAGCTTCACAGAGATGGAATCAGAGAAGGTAATCAGAGCATTGGATGAGATCACCATTGAAGAATCAACTGTAGTGGGAACAGATTGAAGCTGAAACACAAAGATATGGCTATGAGAGAAAAAAAAATGGTATTAGGGTTCGAACCCTACTTTGGATATCATGATGGAATTCAGAGAATTTATGTAACTGAAAACAAATGGTATTATTGATTCTGTTGAAAGTTAGTTACAGCAATTGAGAGTCATCAATTTATAGATGATAGACACCGACTATGGGCCAGCTTATAGGTTGGGCCCAAACAACTGAGATAGCAGAAGCCCAAATAACTATCTAAGAGAAAACAGAAAAGAAAAAGTAAAAATAAAATGAAAATCATGAGAAGTGCTTTCAAATACTATTCTCTAATACAAAGTATGCACTAGGTTAAGAGGCTTAACTTAGCTCAGTGCTCAATACCATACACTTACACACTTGCTAACGTTATCCATATGGTTTATCTTGCACTTTTTTCCAATTCATTATTTTTTTATATTGTATTGAAGGGAATGATAATATTACTGAATCAATGAATAATATATCTTTAATGAATGTATTGGTCTTTCTGTTTTTCCTCAAAGGTGAGAGCTGCATCAGTTACGTGTTTTGCGGGTATGACTTCTTCAGTGTTCATCTGTTTCACTAAGGAAAAACAGGATTTCATATTGTCTTCTTTAGTAAGTATTTATAGAACCCATGCTCAATGCTATGTCTAATTGTAGTATCATGTTAATTGACTGACATGCTGCTGGATTTAATTGATTAACTTGCTAAAATTTTGTAGGTTCATGCTGCTGTACGTGATAATGTACCATCGGTGAGATCTGCTGCCTGTCGAGCCATTGGTATCATTTCATGTTTCCCCCAAGTGTGTCAGAGGTTGTACTAAAACTTGGTATCAATATTATAATCTTTTTTAAATGTGTCGGATTCACTAGTGTAAAACTAAAATGTTCAATAATCTCTGTAGTGCAGAGGTACTTGACAAATTTATCCATGCTGTTGAGAAAAACTCTCATGATGTTCTAATCTCAGTAAGTTGTGCCTCAGTTTTTGACTGCATACTGTCCTATACACTTTTTATTCTTATTACTTAAACTGTAATTCATTGTTTTCCTTATATCAGGTTAGGATAACGGCTTCATGGGCATTGGCAAATATATGTGATGCTATTTGTCACTCTGATAGAATCCTTCCCTTTGGACAAACGGGTGAGCTCAATTTGATATCCGTGATTGAATGGTCAACCATTTTGTGTCAAGACAGAATTTCAAATTTGTATTTTGTAATCTATTTATTTTCTTCCTTTTTTATTTTATTTTTTTATGTAGGTTCAAACTCCAATCCCCAGCTGATTGTTTCATTGAGTGAATGTGCTTTGCATCTTACTGAAGATGGAGACAAGGTATCTTATATTTGTATTCTGTATTTCTTTCAATTGTATGTTCTATATTGATGAAATGTCATTGTTGAGAAGGAGAGAAAACATGACATGGTTGAATCCGTGTGTGAATGTACACAGCGAAGTGTATTATTATATAGTGTGGGTAATGATTAAAGAGAAAATAATTTTCTCATTTCTATAATTAAGTAAATCCTACTATTAGATATATTCACATTATGTTAACATGTACATTTAAGTTTACATTACATTGTCAATTTATTGCTATTCCCTTTACATTTTCTCTGTTATAGTTGGTTTGTTAGATAGTCTGTTGCTGACTCTGCAAGGAGTCATATAGCTTAGGTTTAAAAGGTTACACTCTCTGTACTTTCAACTAAAGATAGTTTTACCATTCAGTTTTTTTCAGTTCTGTTTTGCCTCTCGTTTCTCTCAATTGTATTACCAAATATATTGAGGTAGACTGTCACTTCATAAGGGAGAAGGTTGAGTGTGGAGAAATAACGGCTACCTTTGTCAACTCTAGTGATCAGCAAATTTTCTTACTAAATCCTTGAGGGGTCGATGAATTAGTTATATATGTAACAAGCTAGTGGATATGATTTATATGCACCCTAGCTTGATGGAGTGTTGAGAATCATAATGTAGTAATAAAATAATTAGGCAAATAATATGTTATTTAGGGGAAACAAAATATCCCCTGTCCATGTGTATTGAATGAAATAAACGCATATAAACATACCTCTGGTATCATTTGAACGCATGGTTTCGGCACCTATTTCTCTGTTTCAATCTTTTTACACTATTTATTGTTATTAAATGTATTCCAATATGAATTTTTAGAAGTAAAAGATGCTGCCGAGTGGATCAAACACTCGAGCAATTCACCAAAACTCAATATTCAACTATCATAATTAAGGATTGCATAATCACCATAATTCAAGATATTTACGGTATCTAACAGTCATTGACCTATTTTATAGGATTATTAGGTAAATCATATATTGATTATTTGACTCCTTAGTATACATTTCTCCATTGATTTTTGTTTTAATGGTTTTTTCTATTTTTCATTACCAGGTTAAATCTAATGCTGTAAGGGCTCTTGGGTATATTTCGAGAATCTTAAAATTTTCAACATCAAAATTCCAAGATACAACGTTGGACTACCATGGCTGCAGGACTGCTACGTATCTTAATAGTGAGAATCTAATGGTGTCTCAACAGTGTTGCACATCAGATTCTCTGCAAGATTTCAATAGGCTAGAAAGAATAGTTCAGGCTTTTATTTCTTGCATTAATACTGGGAACGTGAAGGTACCATAATCTTATTGTCCGAATGTTATTTGATTATTCTGAATATTTTGATTTCTTGTCAATCCATTATATCCCTCTTGAACCTGGAGTCTCTGTTACTAGGTTCAGTGGAATGTTTGTCATGCTCTAGGTAACCTATTCCTCAACGAGACATTAAGGCTGCAAGATATGGACTGGTATGTTACATTGAAGCACATGATTTTTATGTTTCTCATGTACATTAGATATATTTATTAGTTACTAGATATTGTAATATGAAGCATATAGGAAAGAGT